GTGCAGCCCATGCCAATTTAGTCCTGCTATGAGTTTTATCATTTTTCAACTATTTTACATTATTTTCTTTAGTTCTTCATTAAACAAATTAGGTAAAATTTAATTCAAAAGACAATAAAATATCAAGATTTAGGGCTACGAATAAGTATAAAAACTACACTTATCATGGGACATGCGTCGAATTTTGTCTCTGTATACAGATATGGTTTTGGGGAAGAAATGGAGTATGAGACAGGTGGAGTGGGGTGGGTATGCATGGTTTTTGAAAAATAATAATTAATACCTGATTGAAATTTGAAATGTAAGATATGATGTAATTTTATCATTTTTAAAACGGTTCTAATAACCATAATGATTTAGAATATTTGAGCTCTATTTTAAAAATTGATAGGACATTTACCCTTGACATTATCCGGCGAAATGATAGTTTATTCGAAATCACTAATTTAATATTCAATGGTTTGACCAAGCTTCTAGATTGGTCGAATTGCTTATCTTGGTATTATGAGATTTAATACTTTATTGATACTTAATTTCCAACTTTAAAGATCAACCCTGTTAAAAAAGTAGCTCAAGGCAATATATGTAAAATTTTATCTTTAACAGGTCCAATAAATAATTGAAAGCATTTATTACACCATTCAACCAAGCACAACATACTATTATTGAACGACAAAAGACGATGCGGTGGAGATGTCCGACGTAAATAAATTAAAAAGAAAAAGAGCTAAAATCAAAGGATGACTTCATTGTCTGTATAAGATCGAGTCATCCTTTTGCACTTGAGGAGGACAAGTGCCATAAGAGAATTTTCATTAGGATCCGATAGAAGTCCAGACTCTTCAACTTTTTCTTCGTATCTCTGGAATAATTCATCCATGATTTCTCTTCCAAAATGATTTTGCAGAAGTCCCTCAATCAATACTCGCATGAACATGGCAAATGATTTGGGATCGGGATTAGTGAGACGCTTCGGAGGATTGTTAAGTATTTCCATCCTTTCGAGACTAAAATCTTGATTTCTTTCTACCAAAGCTTTCAATTCATCATGAAAGGGAAAATACTTGGGCAAGTTGAACGAGTCTACTTTGGATATATCAAATAGTCCCTGCAACATTATTTGTTATATTGGCTAGGCAAATTAAGGCTATTCAAAAATAAATGAATGTCAGTGTTTACCTTCTTAGCCAAGTCCACAAGACAAGATCCCAAAAGTTCGAAAGACGGTAATGTAATTTTAGAGGTGTCCTTATTAGCATTGGGCTCAACACCATGGATAAAAGCCAGTAGCCCTCCATCAACCAACTCTTCTGCCCTTGCTTTCAAGAATGAGTCCAAATCCTTCGCAAATTGAGCTGAAAAAGCATTGAAAACTTCATTTCTCTCTCCATAATACGAAATTCTCCCTTTATTCCATGCAGGGGACAAGGGATCCAACACTTC